ACACACACACACACACACACACACACACACACACACACACACACGCCACTACCACTGCCACCAGAGGAAACCACCAGACTCCGTTCTGGGGACCGTGAGAGAGCCTGACTCATGGGGAGGGGAATAAAGAGGCATATTTTATGGGCTTCCGTCAAATACAGAATTATAACAAAGATGAGGCTGGCTGATGCCCCGGGTAAACAGGAGTTTAGCAGACAGCCCCAAAACCGCTAATGCAAGCCCTGTGCCCATCCGAGCCTGGCAGATTTACTGTGGTGCATGGGCCCCATGGAACGCCAATACCACCTGATTTATACACCCGTGCAAAAAACCTCCCTCTGTAGCTTCAGAGCTGGTAATTTATCACCGCCGTTCATAACCGTATTGATTGCCCTTAGAAAGGAGGTGCTGTATGCATCGCGAAATCTATGTCTACATGTTAAAAGCGTTTCTGTATAAATCTCCCTTAATACTGCGCTGTTTACTGCTTTCATTAAGGTTATGGCAATAACAACTGTATCTCTAAGTAAATCGAAACATTATTTTTCTGCCCGCCTTAGCATGCTCGCTCGATAACTTGGAGCTGGGGCCCAGAGAAACTAAGAAAGGAACCATACCGCCTCTCTGCCATCAGCGGGACCCAGTCAGAACCACACGTTCCCGTGAGCCTGCGTTGAGTGCATGCTGGCGTGTGTGTGCGCGTGTGTGTGTGCGCGCGCACATGCATACAAGCGTGAATGTGTGTGTGCCTGGCACTGGTTGGGAATATGATATTAAATGCGCATTTTATCAGCCCTTGAAGCTCCGACTGCCCAAGGATGGCAAGGCTGGAACACACATGGGACACATAGATGTGGGCCCAGAATACGAATTTTCCTCCTTACATTCAGAACAGCAATTGGGTTGAGAGGCTGGCCTGCTTGCCCTCACCTCCCCTTTAGTTGCAAGCATCCAAATGATGTTCGGTTTCTTTTCCTTAAATAATCAGGCCAGTAAACAAACTCCAGGGGCAGGCAGGCTCAGGGGGCAGTTGAAATTTTAAATGGTTGGAATTAAACCTTGTGTCAAATACAATTTATGTCCAGGCTCATGTGCTATTAGTTAACTGGGAGCCGAATCGCGGGGGAACAAACAAACGGAGACAGAACGGTGGGGGATATTAATTGTGTGTGACAACTGGGCTCCAGCGGCCCTCTATCACTGTTACACACTATTACATTTATCATTAGCTCTCACTGAGTCCTTTGCATGGCCGCCAGCCCATCCTGGCCAGGGGAGGAGGCCTGCCAGGCAAGAGAGTGGGGGAGGAAACCCAGTGCCATGCTGAAAAAACAACTTCCAAAAACAACCCTGTCGAACTTGACAGAGGATCAGCCGGATCTGCCTGAAGGCCTACACATCAGCATCTGCTGTCCAGCTCCCACCCAGAAAGAGAGAAAAGAAGAGAGGGGTGGATTTCCTGGCTTCTACTATCTGACAGACAGCACCAACAGACACCCAGGGCCTCTGTCCCAGGTGCCCACAGTAAGCAAAGTAAATACAACTGGCCTTGTTTCCTTCCCCTGCCATGGCAGAGTGGCCAGTGATTAGCTGCCTGAGTGCTTTCTCCAAACAAGCAGTTTCAGATACCCCTCACCTCTACCCTTCTCTGCCAAAGGAAGGTGGTAGACCTTCAACACGAAACATACTGCTCTTTTCAGGCAGCTCAGGCTCCAAAGGAGCCTAAGGATGTAGACAAACTGAGCCAGAACAAGCATCGCTCCAGAGAGACAGACAAAGGAGGTGGGCACACTTGGCTATAAGGGAGGGAGGGCTGGAACTGAGGAAGGTAGGCTGGAGTGCTGCCCCAAGAAGCGAAGCATTGCTTTCTGATGGGGCCTCCATCCTGCCCGTATCTCCTCCCTCCATCCTGTGCCCCATCCTTCCAAGGAGCACGCTCCACTGCCTGCCTTCTGCCTCTGGACAGTTCCCGCCTCCCCTGAGGACAGTCAGCAGTGTTAGCATTAGAGACCAGCTAGGGAGAAGAGTGTGGGGAGACCCATGTGTCCACATGCGGCATGCAGCAGGGACCCCTGGAGGGAACCCCGTGTTAGGGGTGGTTAGACACCCGCCAGGAGAGGCAGAGAGCGCATGCGCTCCAGTCCTCACAGTTTATTCTTTCTTTTCTGATACTTTGTCACCATGTCCTGCAAACTGGAAACAGAAAATAATAGTGGGCAGGGAAGCCAAAGGAAGACAGAAAAAAAATCAATGGGCAAATGGAAGCGGGCCCCCCAGCCAAGGCCCTCTCTTTCCTCATCAAGAGAGGGCTCTGGTTAGCTGAGACCAGGCCAGGGCATGAGTGATAAGTGTTGTCCTTAGAACCTGGCTTGGACCACCCCTAGAAGCCATCCCCCACCCCAAGGAGCTGGATCTCTAGGCCACCTAGATCTGCCTGCAGGATGGGGCCTGGCCCGGAGGGGGGAGGAGCAGGTCTGAGGTCCCTCAGGGGCTTCTTCAGGGCCTGGCCTCATCCCTGCATTGCTGGTCTTCTCACTTTGTGACTCTCTCCTCAGCCTGGGACTACAAATCTCTCTCTCCTAAGCCATTCCCTGGGTGGGTTTTATGGGAGAAAATCTCTGGCACAGTAACAAGGCATCACAGCCTTTAAATCTCTGCTCTCCCCAGAGTGGGACAGGCGCCATCGGAAACACAGCTAAACGGGGGAATAACTCATCTTGAACAGGCAGAGCTAGAGAGCCAGGTCCCTCCGAGGCCTGGGGAGAGAAGGAGAGGAGACCCCTTATCTAGCGTCGTCTAGCCTACCCTTTGCCCCTCAGGCCGGGGTCCAGGCTGGAATCTGATAGCAAGGGGAGGGTGGGTTGGTGGCTTGGTGGGGGACACAGAGGTTGCAATTGTCACCTGGGGCCTCAGTCCAGAGGTGGTCAAGAAGGCCTCCTTGCTGGCCATAATGCCACAGAGGCCACTCCTCACCTGTTGATGAGGTCCTCATTCTCATCACTCTCCATCTCGTCCTCAATGGCAGCCTGCAGGTCCCCAATGCGCTTGAATGCCAGCTTCAGGTCAGCCTGCAGGCTCTGGTTAGCAGCTTCCAGACTCTCCAGGTCCATCTCCTAGGAGGGAAGGTGGGAAGTCCCGTGTGCAGAGGGCCATTCTCTCCTCCAGCAGCCCCAGATATTTACTTTGTGGGCACCTCAGGTGGGGACTCTGGGTATTGTACAGTCAGGTGTTAGAAGCCTAGGAAATCCAGGCTTCTTTTCTTTTCCCGTTCTCTGCCCAGTGGGAGCTGGGCAGTGGATATAGATGTCTACAGCAAGTCTCTCTTAGCCGGCAGAAGCTACCTGGGTGTGGCTATGAGCTCCAGGGCCACTGGGCTGGTAGGGCCTGGCCTTACCTGATGGAGACTCTGGTGCTATCCTTGGCTCTCCAGCCTGCCCTCAGGACTGTCCTCCTGACATGCTCCTCCCCACTCCCATTCTCTGAACCACGGTGTCTTTGCAATCCCACCTCCTAGCCCAGAATGAGGTGTGTAGTCAGTGCTACTCAGGGGGCCTCCACTGTGGGGTCTGGGGAGCAGGAGGCCTACCAGTTCATGCTTCTTGCGGCTCGCCTCAGCCTCCTTCCTGGCGAGCTCACCCATCTCCTCCTTGGTGTCCCGGAGCTGCCGCTGTAGCCTCTTGTTCTGTTCTTTCTCCCGGTTCTCTGCTGCAGCGCGCTGATCCCGTTCCTCAGTCAGCTTCTCCATGTTTTCCTTGAGCCGGCTGGCCAAGCTCTGGGTAGTCAGGTAGAAGGAAAGACCAGCAGGTAGGCCCACTGGCCAGGCAGGGCAGGAGCAGCAGGGTTCTGAGCCTTTGGCTAAGCTCTGGTTCTGCCACTTACTGGCTATGTGGGCAAGGAAGTGAAACCAGGGGTGGGGGGTTCCTTTGCTTTTCTGAAAAATGTGGAGGATAACAACTGTCTTGATAGTCTTTTGAGGATCTAATAAGGCAGTGAATGTCAAGGCACTTCAGAAGAGAAAGTGTTGAGGTCATTATTATCACTACCAAGATTGAGGGAAGTTCTGGGCAGAGCCAGGGCCTATCATGTAAAAGTCTCCTCCGTGGTCCTACTGACCACGGAGGAGACACTGAACCAGTTCAGAGACACTGAACCCAGAAGCCCCAAAAGCTAGATCCTATGCTCAGAGATACTTGGCTTTATTTAGAGTTCCCAAGATTAAGAGAAAACTAAGCAGTCATCAGTTTCCAAGCAGACAGCCATCTCTCGAAACCCATGGATCTCTCTACTTCCAGAAATCTGAAAATGTTTTTCCTGGACAGGAAGGAGGACACTGAGCAAGAAATGAGCTGGGAGTACAGTGTGTGAGGGAAGGACCCTGCATCTGGATCTAATCCTGCTCTGTCACAGACGGGGACCTCTTAATCCCTATGTCTCTAAAGTAACAGACCCAGGTTATAGGTCGACTGAGGGTCATTTGTGATCAACACTGACGCGTGTAAACCACAACATTACCTTTCTGAGCAAAGGGTAACCTGAGGGAAGGACTGGGGCCCAAGAGAAAAGGGGACAAACCTAGCAGGTCGGCCCTATTGCCACCAGTCCAATGGCCTCTTCTGCCCCCTGACAGGTTTGTGACCTCAGGCAACCCATATAACGCTTTCCTGTATGTGAAATGGTGACTGAAATATTACCAACTGTCTTGCAGCAGTGGAAGGCAGAAAATGAACTACTAAGTTTCTATAACTCTTGCTAGCTCTCATGAGGACTGGGACCCTGTCTGGAGAAGTTCAGCCAGACTCCCTCTTACATCAAGTTTATCAATGCCCTCAGGTGTCCACCTGTTTCCATTCCTCCTCTAGTGCCTGCTCTGATGACTGAGCAGCTAAAGGACAAGGAAGCAGGGACGCTTTTCAGTGACCATACCCATGAACACAGTTCTGAGGCAGGACGGCTTAAACAAATGTTGGTAAGCTTGGGAAGGAGGAGAACTTCCAAATGAGACAAGAGGGGCATAAACACAGAGAAAGAATTCTGCCTGCCTCTCTCTCTCTGTTAGGGCTGGAACATGTTGGCTTAGGGAGATTGGAGAGAAAGGACTGACATGGAGAACAGAGATTCCACTGGGAGAAAGGAGGGACAAACAGAGAAGGAAAGAGGTCAACCCCAACAAGAGTGTTGCAGGGAAGGGTTAAAAAAATGAAAAAGAGAGAAGAGGAATGGGAAGAGGAGAAAAGAAGAAAGGGAAAGAGGGTAAGAAAGAGAGACAAGATCAACAAGAGGAAAAATATAAAGGGAAAAAAGAATAGGTCAATAACAGAGAAAAATGAATAGAGACGGAGAAAAAGCAGAGCTGGGAAGGGTGGAAGGAAGGGAAAAAGGGAATGCAAAGGCAAGGGGAGAGGAGGAGAGAGCGGTGAGATGAGAACAGACTTCAACCCTTGGAGCAGTGGCGCCATCCGCTGCATATTTATGACCCTGCCAGAGAGCCAAGTGAGGGGGACAGGCGGGGGGAGCTCGCGGTGGAGGAAAATATGAAGACGAAAAGCTAAGCTGCTCTGGTCCCTTGGCAGAAAGCAAGCACGGAAACAGAATGTAAAGCAGGCAGGCTCTATGGTGCCCAGAGAGCAGGCCGGGCGGGTGGGAGAAGGGCCCCCGCTCTGTCAGCTGGCCTGGCAGCTTGGCAGAGGCCTCTGAGGAGTGTCCCTGGCCTGCCCAGCCCTGTGGAGCATGCGTGCCTCCAACTACTGGGGCAGCTCTCCCCTGCTTGCTGCAGACCCGTAGCTGAACCTACCTCCAGCCGCTTCACTTGGGTCCTTTCAAACTCCAGACGTGTCTCCAGCTCCCGGATCTTTGCTTCCTGCCTGCTCACCAGGGACTTGTCCACCATAGACTGCTCTAGAAACTCCACTTGGCTCTGGAGGGCTTGCAGCTGGAGTGGAGTGTGGGGGGAGCAAAGGAAGAAAGAACTGAGCCCAGAAATGGGCGGAGGGGGGGGGCAAATCTGGGGCAGAGTCTGCAGTAGAGTCTGGGGCAGGCGATATCACCATGGTGACCCGAAGGCTGAGGCAGGGAGGCATGCTGAGGGGAAGGTGGGAGGAGGGGGCCACAGGCATCCCTCACTGCCCCAGCGCTTGGCACAGATCTTGCCCTTTGGAGAGAATGGAGAATGCTAAGGACCAGAGAGGGAATAGAAATGTGAAATGAGGCTGCCAAAGCCAAAATGTCTGCTCCAGTGATATGGCTGCAAGCCTAGTTCTTCTTGCTAGTTTATATTACTACTTGGAACACAGATGGTAGAGGGACACACTTTCCATACTCTGAGCTGAGGGGACCATCCTCACAGAGTGACCCTGCACCATCTCTATCAAGGGAGTCCCCAGTGCTCACCTTCTCCTGCAGCTCCTGTTTCTCCTTGTTGGCTTCCTCTAGCTGAGCTTGTAGGTCACTCATCTGTGCCAGGTCCCTGGAAGCCTGAGAAAACGGTGAGAACACGGTGTACAGGATCCCCCTAAACACAAGTCCAGGGCCCCCGCTTCCACTGAGGGCCTGGGCACCCTGACTCCCACACTGTAGCCATCCTAAAAAAAGTGGCTAAAAGGGGGACCCAGAAGGTGATCCAGAGGAGCAGTGACTGGTGGGTTGCATGGTGGGACACTCCTGAGGAAGGGGTACCTGAGCCACTGCAGCCTTGTGCTTCTTCATCAGCTCATTCATGTCCTCCTGATCCTCTTCTAGTCGGTTCTGGATCTCATTCTTCTCACGCTGAAGGCGGCTCAGCTGCTCCTCCAGCTGGATGAAGGCAGAGACAGCTCAGAGGGCAGCAGGCCTGGCATGCCTGAAGGCCCCAGGTGGCAAGTCCAAACCTGCCCCCATGCCACCTCCTCTAGGTAGGGGTGGCAGTCGGGTGGGGAGATGATGATGGGCTGGGCCACTGGCTGGAGTGAGTTCCAGGACCAGTGATACTCAGGGAGCTGTTCGACATGCTCTGGGTAGGGAGAGGAGGGAAAGGGCTGTCTGGGCAGGATAGGCAGGCCCTTGGCTTCTGTGCTAAATGACAGCTGCTTTCTGGCAGCTCTCTTGAGGCTAATGAGAAGATAGAAAAAGTCTTCCCAGAACAAATGACCCGACATCCTGGCACTATCAACCTAGCCCCTGACCTATGTGTACTCTGCCTGCTTCAGGCCCCAGAGAAGGACCCTTCAAGGTGAGGATGACCCCTGGCTTGGATTCTCATTTCCCCTGGGTCATCCAGCCCCCACAGCCAGTCCACTCTTGGGGGAGGGGAAGAGACAGCCAACAGCAGCTTCAGGAAATGAATGAATCTATTAGCCTGTAATTCCAAACCAAAATGACTGCGTTGGCTCCTTCTCTGCCCCATCCATCTTGTTACTGGGCTGTGGGGAGCTAGGGAAGCCTCCGCCAAGAAATTTATTAACTCGGATTTAAATAAAATGGTAATTTTATAACAGCCTTTTTTAACACAATTAAGGAATTTGAATTACTCACCTGAAAACTGCTGAAGAGCACAAATGTCAGGAGGATAAATCAAGCCCATGAGATTGGCATCTCTGGGCAGCAGGGCGACTAGCTAGGGGGCCATGAAGCCAACGGCCAAACCCAGCCTCCTCCCTTGCCCCATTTCCAGCCCAAGGAGGTACCAGTGGCCGCATCCCGGTAGTGAATTCTCTGCCGATGGATGGGCCGTGGGAGAGTGGGGAATTAAAAGAGAGGCATTAAATAAGAGCTCTAATTAGCTGCCGCTTGGGCTTGTCAGTGGGCTGGGCATGGGGAGGGGAGGGAAGCTGAGCCATCCCATCCTCTTATCGGTGCTTCTGCTAATCTCCAGGCACCTGTTTACATCCCTCAGCCACATTAGCTGCCTTTATTTATAGTGCTGGGGCCTGTGGCCAAGTGGCCAAGCTCCCGAAAGCAGGTGGTTAAACAGGGAGATGGGCCTTGGATGTCTCCCTCCTCCAGGGCCTGTGCTCTGAGTGGAGAGAGGCAGAGGATAGGAGACCACTGTCTTTGCAGAAAGCCCTGGCATGAAGAAACCCATCTGGGGTGAAGGCAGCCACTGTCATGATTCTGTTTTCCCTCCCCCCAATCTCTGCCATGGACACCTGGACCCTTACCGCTGTCTTGGCCTTGACGATGTCATCAATCTGCAGGTGAAGGTCTTCGATCTCTACCTCCATTGCTTTCCGTGCTTTAACGGCTGCTGCACAAGTGAACTCTGACTCCTCCAGCTGGACACAGAGCCACCCCACCACAGGGAGAAACATCAGCCACTCCCAGGAGGCAGGAGGGATGTGCAGGGTGCTCAAAGGGCAGAGGGGGCCCAGACGCTCTCTTCCTCCTCTACTCACTTCAGACCCAAGGCCACAGCCATGCTATGGTGCACACACAGGCATTCCTCCCACAACAGGGGTGTGGGCACCAGGCCATGCCCATACCACCCCAGGGTTTGGCAGTCAGGCTGCACAACATTGGTTGCTGGGGGCTTTGGTTGCTACAGAGGACTTCTCCCCACATTCCTGTCACTCTCCTTCCCAAGGACTCAAGAACCCATGAGAAGCGAGAGAGAGATAAAAAAA